TATTGCAACATGTGTTCACATATAATATCTATATCTCCCGTTTCACGTCAATGTTATAAATCAATTAATAATGCAAGCTTATATAGTAATAACAGCTTGAATCATAACCTATGCTGACTTAATGCGAATAGGGTTATTTCAGTTTGTACATTTAGTATTAGGCTTCATTATCGACCAGATCTAGCCTTGTGTATGATAGCTGACGGCTTCATTCGCTGTAAATCTGTTGCGTTACGGTATCTACAGCTGCGATATATTGATTCTTTAAATGTTGATTTCCGCTAGGTGAGTATTCCTTTTCTTTCATCAAGTGGCCGTTGCGTCGATAGTCCTTTCCTTTGATAGTAGCAATATAAGATTGCGGTTTTTTTACAACTCCTTTGATTACTCCTTTGCAAGAGGTGGACCTATTGTTATTCAATTTAATCTACATTCTAAGCTGGTCGCCTTTCTGTGATGGAGACGAGGGACGAGACCTCTTGTCATAACTTGCTTTTCGGGATAATGTGCTTGGTAGGCCGAGGGGACAGGAATAAAACATCGCATGCATCTGATTAACGCTTTTTATTCTCATTAGCGATCACATGTTATTTTAGACCTATTGTAGTTGCAAGGGACAATATTGGATTAGTCTTTCATACAGTCTTACCTCAGACAAACCCAAGAAATTGACTTGTGTCTTATGCGGGAAGGGGGGGATAAGGTACATTGTCCAATCTTATCAGCCCAGCATCAAAATATAACGGTATACAGTATCTGCGTTAGTAATTAATTATTCACAAATTCGTGAGCAAGATTTTGGGATCTCTTTCTGGATCATAATTATTGCATTTTATATTGATACTCAGCTTAGACTATAGCCAACAGCAATAGCCAATTCCTATACCGAGTAGTGAATAAAATAAAGAAATGATTAATGAATTAGAATGAGTAATAACGACATTTAAAAGTCTTTCGATAAAATAATCAGAGGACGAAGATGAAGACGAATTTCGAAGGATAGGATTTTGAACTTTTTTAGCATAGATAAGTATACCTTGTTACTTGATGGTAGCTTACAATCGTATTTCATTCAATAGCTGTCTAGATAAGGCTTTTAAATAGACTAAAGATGTCCCACACTTGCTTTTCTTTTACGTAAAAATAATTTAAAGTTAATTGAATGCTTTTATTAACGTGCATAAAATCCATCGCGAGATTCACCTATATTGTACTATACTTTTTGTAAAATATCGGCTTAATCGCCATTTTCCCTATGGGCTGATTTGCGATAGTTATTTCGTTATAAAAAATGAAGCAATAATTCCCGTTTTATACTTTATTTGAAAGCTATTTCATTCCTTACTCCTCTACTAATGATACATCATACAAGATATCGTTTATACACATTACCGCTGTCATGTATAATGCAGAGCTGACAGTAATTACGCTCTCTAGAAATGAACAAATCCGATGATGCAGTGCTATGTAATCATGAATGATGGTAAATAGAAAAAAATTTAGAATAAATCAGTATTCATATGAAGGCACCGTAAAGTGTACGTTTAAGACAAAGAACATGTCATTTTAAACTGGAAAAGAATTGATTTGCTAGATTAAGAATTCCGGAAGGTCGACTGTTATAATATGGCGTAATACGAAGATTTATATTAATATTACTGTTGCTTTCCTTAATTAGCTATAACTAATCAGTCATATTTCAGTTACAGCTCATCCAATAGAATCGAAAAACGTAACAGACTATCTCTACACTGGATTTGAGTCATACAGATATGATTTTATGATATTACTATAGTTAAAGCAGAAATCACTCCGGCAAATACTATGAGAATTATAAGAGAGAAAGTAAAGAGTTTCGATTCTTTAATAATATACAATAAAGCAGTATTTCTATTAAAACTATATCCCCTAATAGTTTATATACGATAACTCTTATTTCTGGCATATTTATTGGCAGGTAATATCTTGTTTCAATTCTGTAGCTGTAGAGTAATTAATAACGAGCAGACTTGTAGATCTGACAATATATTCAATTCATTACTTAGAAAAATAGAAATTACCAACCACTAACAATACCAGATCTAATCAATGACTTTCCGATAACTCTCTCTCTAGCTTAAATTGCACAACCTTAAATACCGTTTATTTTTATGCATTCACACTCAAGTACAGATTACTAATTTAAGATAATTACACTACATAAAGAACCATATCTAAATCTCGGTAATTAATGATAGAGTTAATCATTACATCAGCAATAAATTCCATACGTGCACATAAAAATTACTATTGATGGCTCAAACTTTAAATTATATTACAAAATTCCTCGCAAAGCAGATGCTGGACCGTTTCAAGGTCATGAAATCATTTTGCAGATAACTTCTTAAATATAGTTTGGGTCATATCAATACTTGTATAATTAAATTTAAATCCTAACATTGGCTACAATACTTAAGCACGTTAGACTTAAACTAGCTGTTAAAATCACGAATGAAAATTAGATATAAATCCATCTGGCAATGCGTCCTCTTGTTATTTAAATAAAAAATTATCTTTGAAGAAAAGCTTAATCACCGGGTCGTGTTTATGGACATATTACAAATGATTCTTTTCTTCAACATTGCTAGTTTATATGTCGTTAACTCTTATTTTTCTGACATATTCTTTGTCAGGTAATAACTTTCTCATCATTACTGTTGATGGATCAGGCATCAAAACATGTTTCAGCATTTCTCATAAAAGGAAATGCTGGACCATGTCAAGGAATCTTTTTTCAGATAACATCTTATAGCTATAGTTTTGGGCTATATCAATGCTTGCTTAATCAAATTTTAAATCCTAACACTAGCACAATACTTATTCACACCAGATTGAAACTAGCTGTTAAGCTCAAGAACGAAAATTAGATATAAATCCATATGGCAACACGTACTCTCTTATTTAATTAAACATTATTTTTAAAGAAAGGCTTAATCACCGGAAAGGGTGTTTTCGAACATGGTACAAATGATCGAAGATGTTTATCATCTAAAGAATATTCCGTAAATTTACTAAGCATTTCCGATGAGAATCATTCTTTGTACTCGCTACAGTTGTCTAAGGTGTAACGATCTCATCGACCATGGATAATACTTTCAAGAAGTACCGTACTTGCTTGGAGGAAATTGTCACAAAATTGATACACCTAAGAGAGATGCATAGGTGTTTTGATAGCCTTTTGATCGACGAAATATCGATATTTCAGAGATGCACTTTATAGTGTACATACAAAATGCCATAGAAGATAGACCGACTTATGGATGTATTGCCAGTGTCCATATTATGATCAACTTTAAGAACCTATCAATTGAAACAGCTGTATTATATTTTCTATTATTAGCTACGCTTTTGAAAAAAATACTGTAATTTGCTACTAAATCCTGGTAAATGGATTAAAATTCCTACATTATCACGAATTGATAGTCATTGTGGTCACTGTCATTAATAGTACAAGTACATTGAGTGAAATCAACGGTTGAGCTACTTACTTTAGAAAATTTTATGAGAGAAAAATCTTCACAGCTGTCGATAGAACTTCAATATTGTAAGGTATAAAGTGGAATTAAACACGAAATCTATGCTGAGACACCCAATAAATTCATACGCATCTTATATAAAATTGGTATAGAATTAGTTTCAATAGGTAGATTCAAAAGTTGCATGCCTTCAAATAGAACTAGAAGCAAAAAGAACTAGTCTACGTTTATTCCGAACAATTGTTAGCAAATAGCTCTCCTTACTGATGTCTATTACTCAGCCTTTGTTTCCATATTGCTACCTTTTTGTTAAGTAATCCAATATATAAGGACTTTATTTACGAATTTTTATCTTCATTACAACTTATCGTTCCTTTTTTTAATACTGATCATAATTAGGATTAAATATTTTCTCCGTCACTTGAAAGTTATTAAGTAATGATCAAACACACTCATTAATCAAATACATTATAAAATAGGTATAGATTGCTACTCTGTAGCAGATTCATTTTTTCATTATTTTTATTCGAAATCCCAATTGCTATGGCCTTTATTGCAGAAATTAAAAAAATAGATTAAAAACAATTGTCATAAGGAACTGAACGTCCGTTCTTGGGTGAAAAGTAAAAGCTGCTATATTCTTTTCATCAAATTTTTCAAGGTAAATCAGCGGAGAGTGCATAACTTTGGCGATAGAAAATAACATCAATTTAGCTACCATTAAAATCCTATAACTTTCATTTAAAATGAAATTTAAGTACGCAGCGGTGATTTAGATCTAAAATATAATTGCTTCTCTATCTAAAATAATATTCGACTGTAGATTCTCTCATTTGTTGAAATTATTATAATAACTGTTTTCTTATGATTTCAACATGTAACAACAAACAATCGGATGAAAACTATGTGATCCGATCAATATGGAAACTTAGTTTTCTATAGCCAATAGAACTGCTCTTCCGATGGATACGCTATCGCATTATATTCATCGATTTTCCAAAATGCAAGAATGATTATTGTTGATAAAATACATATACTATTTGTAATTTCAATGACTGAAATGTCTAAAGTACGATCACATTGGGGAAAGAATTGCTATTGTTAATGAGAAAGATAGACTAGACAATCATGTATTTTACTGACAGACTTCAAAATTGATCATTTCTTATTGTTGCGCTCAATAAATAGCCCATAGCCTAAAAATAGAGAATTTTCTCCCATTGGATTAGTTCGTTTTGATTGATATTGCTGTAGACATATATTTATAAATCTTTAATAGATAACTTTGAATCGATTTATTCAATTGAAAGTTGGATAGAATCGTTGCAATTTAAGGCTGCTATTTCAGCAATTATTTAGATTGCTAGCATCAATTCCTATAATCATTACCTCGAAAGTACTCACTGTGGCTTTCATTTTCACTACTTAACGCTATAACTTCTCTATCGAATTGAATCCATCCAGAAATCACTTGGAAAAGAAACTATGGTAAATTCATCACCTTACATACGCTGTCTAGATGCTCGATTTTATCTTAAAATGAATTTATCGTTTATCGTTTATCCACCACCATCACAATTAAAAATCGATGCCTCCATCGTTTGGAGTATTCTTTTAACGGCAATTCTTGTCATTAATATCACTCTACTTGGAATTATCTGTGCTAAATCGTCTTTGAGGATCCTAAATAATATTTTGGTAGGTAGCCTATGCATAGCCAACATTTTATTCTGTGTTTTCTACATTCTTCCAGCGAAGGTGATCCTGATTGGTAATTCAATAATACCATTTACCAATATTTATTGCCAGTTATCTCATACCGTTTTTCAACTTGCTTTCTTCTGTTGTATCAATTTTCACATTAGTTCAATCAGTTTAGATAAGCTGATTAACGTAGCATTACCATTTTGGTATGATCAAAACAGAAAATATAAATTAATTATGTTTGCAGCTATTCTGTTTACTTGTTGGGTATTGCCTACATTTATGGCATTTCTACCATTTATGATAAGCTGGTGGCGTATTTGTCCATATTTTTGCGTCATATCTGAAAGAAAAGCTGATCGTATCTTAAATTTGACAATTTGGCATACATTTTGGCCTATATTCATGTTTTTGATGCCAACAGTGATAACTGTTACTTTCTATGGTAGAATTTTTACTATCGCTAGAAATCATGATCGAAGACTGCGAGCTGGGAGTCTACCATCATCAGAGCGGCGTATTATTACGCGATCTGGAGTGAAAGCAGCTAAAACGGTTATTATTATCGTCGGAGTTTATCTTCTTTTTCAGATGCCCTATCATATATTCCAGGTTATTAACGTTCTCGATAGGGACTTATCCCGCGCTGCCAATAAATATAACCTACGTGAATGGTTGCTATTTTTAGCCTCATGTAATTCTGTTTTTAGTCCAATTATTTATGGATGTCATGATTTACATTTACGCAATGCTTTAAAATCTCTAAGTTGCTTTAAACCACTGAAGAAGTTGTGGAAAGCTTCTTCTTAGTCGTCAATTTTAGATTACATTTATTCTAAATAGAAGTTTCAGGACTTTTACACAGAATGATGCACGGTAGCAGATATGTGTAAGAAGAAATAAATCAACCAGTATTTTAGAATTTGAGACCTATGTTATCTTCATAAACTTGCAAGTAAAGCTTGTTGGCAAAAATGTTGGTTTTACAGATGGTATCAAAAAAAATATCCCAAAACTAATTCATTGGCTTATATTTACCAAAGCTCCATGGGAAAGAAAACCTGATCAATCCATGTATTGACAATGCTTTCTTTAAATAAGTCAGCAATTAGAAATCTAATCGTTGGGAATCCTTTAATTTTGCTGACTAATAAAGGAAGCAAACCCTTATCGATTCAAACATGAAAGAGTAACGAACTGTTATGATTTTGATAAATCTTATTATTCGAAATAATGTTACAGTATATGATAGTATAATGCAATACACAGTCTAATACTTCCATGACGAAGATTCTTTATTACCAAATGGCTAACCCCGATTTATGAGCACATTTACAACAAGGACACATATGCTAATTATCATAAACTCTGGCAGGTGATTCTTAGCCAGCTGTTTACTGTATAAAATAAGTTGTACACGTATCTAAACGGATTCATACTAGATTATCAATGGGTAATGTACGTTATTAACCAATAAAAATTTCTGTGAACATAAAGATTTAATGATAAGAGAATTCTGTGGTACTCGCTTCATATATTTCAAGTAACATGCTGGAGTTTTAAAATTTAGCAACTTTACCCAGATAAATCTCTTAAAATATTCTGTTAAATCGTCGATGATCTTGATTTCGGTATCTATCGTGTCTTAATGAAAATTTAAACTTCCATGATTTAACCATGCTCTTAGTATTCTTTTATTTCTGTATACTATGCAACTAAAAACTTACTCGTATATCTTTCTAGTGTAATAATTACTAAGTTGAACTAGAGAACTTACTGTCTTGATTGTTTGAAACATTAACTATGAATTAAAATTTAATTTTAAAGTATACATTCATGCACATACTAGAATCAATTCCTGCTTAATAATTTCAAAATGTCGAATATTTGCATAGCACTATTCACGTTGTTTTCGGGCAATCTATTACAATAGTCAATTCAACTATCCATACAATTTATCTTAATCTGTATAGTAAATCCATTTGCCATGTTTTTAAGGATTCACTATAATAGGTATTAGTAATTAATACAATTTATGCGGTTAATAATCAAAAAGTAAAAAATTAAAAAGAATATTAATGAAAAATCCATGTTACCTATAGACCTAAAACTCAACTGATCCATACCTACTACGGTACTTCATTTCCATAAATTTAATCTGTGAAAGTAGATACAAAATCATTTGGCCGATATTAATGCGAACAATTAAGTATGTTAAATTACTACATTATAGAGGTTTTTAGCTTGATAAATTTACTACCATAAATTAAGAAAAGGAAAATGATCCATAGTGGTTTAATTACAATTATCTTAAACTTTCTAAAAGATCTAAAATCAACCAA